AACACCAACTGATTGAGAAGACCCTGTTTCTCTTTTCATTTCATGTTCTCTGCCTGGCGGGCCTCATCCATCCCCATGGCTGTCACAACCATCCATCTATCCATGTAAACAATCCCAAAGTGTCTACCTCAAGCTTAAGTCTTCTGAGTTTTTGACTCAAATATCTAATTACCTCCTTGAAATTTCCTCTAGAACACACAGTATTTCAATATTAATATGTCCTAAAATCTATGTCCACAAATCTCCTATTGGTCATCCTCACCCTAGTAAATGTCACCTAAAAGCTGTGAGTTATCTTTGATTCTTCTCCCTCTTACTTCCCATGTTCAATCCATTACCAGATCTTGTCAATTCTCTCCTGAGAATATCTTGAATATACATTGCTTTTCACCTAGTCTGTATCACCCTGCACCCAATCTCCAACACCATCTACCTCCAACAAGTACCTGTTGGGGGAGCTCATCAAGAAGACATGATCGCCAATTGACAGTCAAGCTGGACCAGGGCTATTGGAGGCTCCTCAGCCCCTCTGGGTCCTTGAAATGTGCATTCACTTGCCTTCCCCACTTCCAGAAGCTGTTCCAAGGATACAGCCTGGAGAGAGCAATGTGATAGTGAGACTATACGTGACTGAATCCAGTGAGGGCCTCTCTATAAAAGGTTTTAAGATGCTGGCAGGTGGGTGGGTATGGAAAACTACTCATCTTGTAGCCATGTAAGTATTGGAAGTAAATTCCCTTGCTTATCAAACGTGGCGCCTCCCAGTCTGGTGTGGTTTGTCTTTTTCTTCAGCTTCTCCCTGCCCACCCTCTGTGGGGGCTGGTTTCCGGTCACACCCGGGAGGCTCCTGACCAGGTTTAGGAAGCAACAGTATCCCAGTTCCATTTTGCCCTTCAATCCTTTTGCCATCGATTAGCCAAAAGGGTTTTTGTAAAATGTAAAGATGCTGATAAGACCAAGAAATGTTTACATTTAAAGAAACTTAAATGTAAGTTTAAGTTTGGAAACCCAATAGATACGTATATGAATATGGGTAAAGGTGGAAATAAAGACAGAAATGTCAAGGAATATACAGCTCTATGAAATATGGCCTGAAAACCTATTCCATTTTCCCTTTATCCAACTAGTACACTGTGAGTCCAAAGTTCCCTTACAGTTTTTACTCAGGTACTATTTCTTTTTATAATTCATTGCTCTCCTCTCTGCTGCTGTCTCCTTCAAGGCCAAGTGACTCCAGCTTTCCCTATGAAGCCTTCTCCAGCTACTCTACCCCTCTAGTCTTCCCTTTCTAGGCTATAACTAAACTATACTGCCTACTGCATGGCAGGCGATGTGCTAACACCGTATCTAATCCTCCCAATCGCTCTATGGTGTTGATGCCATTTTTTAAATTTGATTTTTTTAAAGCGAGGAAAGGAGGGTGTACATCGATTTATTGTTCCAGTTATTTATGCATTCACTGGTTGATTCCTGGATGTGTCTTGACCGGGGATTGAACCCACAACCTTGGCAAATTGGGACGATGCTCTAACCAACTGAGCTATTCGGCCAGGGCCTTGTCGTCATTTTTAACACCACTTTACACATAAGGAATCTGATGTACAAAAACATTTAGGAAATTTATGTAGAACTTTTTTTAAACTTTATTTTATTGTTTAAAGTATTACAAATAGTAGTGCATATGTCTCCTTTTTTCCCCCCACTGACCTTCCCCTGGCCTCCCCTACACACGCGTTTGACGGTCTGTGTAGACCTTTTTAATGAGGAAGCTGGAGTTAGGACCTGGTTCTGCGGGACTTTCACACCCAAGCTCTTAACCACTTCCACTGCCTCTGAGACCTCAGAGCAGCCGTTAAAATCTGGTAGCCCAGGGTTTCCCGCTTCTCCATATGCTGTCTTGTGCAGCTATGTCTACATCCACAACGCCTTGCTGAGAAACTGTGCTATCGGAGGGAAAGGGTTTGCCCAGCCTTCCCACCAAGGGGCAATAATAAAGCTTCTATCTTCGTGAAGATGAGAACAATGAAGACCCTAGTGCTTTGTCATCTCGTGTTGGACTAGTGCCTCTCCCGTGCTCGTCAATAACACCTCCCTCCCTTTGCTGTCTCTCAAAGCCAGGCTCATATTCTCGTCTCTCCTGGCAGGGGCAACTACTTGTTCAACCAGCCCACCTGGGCCACGTGCCAAGAGCCTGAGCATATCGTCCTGTGGAACGTGGTCTTGTTCTCCATCCTCCTAGGGATCGGCGTGGTCGAAGCAGTGCTCTGCCTTAGCCAAGTCATCAGTGGACTCTGTGACGTCTATTGTGGTGCCTGCATCGGAAAAGGACAGGTGAGTGCTCCTAGAACCCGGGAATTTTTCAGTCACTTCCCCCTGATCGGTTCCACACTGTCTCTCTCATGCCCTAGCCCCACATGCCCAGAGGTAAGCCAGTTACTAGGAAATGCCCTTTGAAATGTAGAACTTCATTTGCCACCTTGGGTTTAATTTTTCTTTCAGGTGAACATAACTGGTTTATGAGCAGCCTAAGAAATCACAACTGATGGACAGGTGAAGGAAAATTCCCCGGGGTTTCAGGAGGACTGGATTTGGCGAATGTCAATCTCGAGTTCCGAGAAGCTGAGAAAAAAGCCCCCGACTTTTCTTACCAGAGTAGGTTTGTATAAAAGACAACAGTGTTGCGAACTTCATCCACTTTGACAGAATAAAGATTGACATTTCCTCCAAATGATCTCTAGAAATGACATAAGAAGTCAAAGGGATGTACACTGATAGAAATAAAAAATAATATAATGATAGATGCTTAATATATTCGGTGGTTATTGTATCCAGGCCCTGCGCTAAGCACTTTATCTACATAATTTTAGTTAGTCCTATAAAGCAATGCCATATTGCAGATGAGGAAACTCAGGCTCAGAGAGGTTCAATTGCTTGTCTGAAGTCAGTGAATCTAAGTTTTGAATTTGAGCCTGACTCCAACATTTATAGTCTAGAGTTGTGGTTGGCAAACTGCGGCTCATGAGCCACATGCGGCTCTTGGGCCCCTTGAGTGTGGCTCTTCCTAAGCCTTAGGAGTACCCTAATTAAGTTAATAGCAATGTCCATACCTATATAGTTTAAGTTTAAAAAATTTGGCTCTCAAAAGAAATTTCAATCGTTGTACTATTGAGATTTGGCTCTGTTGACTAATGAGTTTGCCGACCATTAGTCTAGACCACTTTCCTGTGGACCTCAGAGATTATTGCTTAGACACTAACTAGTTGGTATTCATTTACAAAAAAAGGGATGGTGGGGGCTCTGTGGTCAAATTAATTTGAAATACACTGGATTAAACAAGGTATAATAGGCTTCTCTGCTGCAGGACTTGTCAGAACCTTTACAAAACCAGTATGCATTGTTTATCTCCAAAAAGAGAATAGCAAATGCACAATTTCCTGGTCTTATCTGACCACAAAGCCCTTTTCTCCTGGAACAATTTTTCTGGGGCTAATATCCCATGGAGCACACTTTGAGAAACACTGTATGACTCAGTGATGAGGTAGAACCTACTTCACTTAACCCATGAGAGTCCCAGAGTTTTCCAAACCACCAGAGAAGCAGAAAAATAAGGAATGAAATAGGTTAAGAACTACTCACTCGTTTTTTGTTTTGGCTTTTGTTTTTTAAGTTTGGTGTAATAGCCCCAGCCAGGAGTTTTATTTTAAAGCTCCTTTACTGTCATTGCAATATACATTTTTGAGAATTCAATATCTACCATACAAGCTCTGACAGTTCTCAAAAAGGCATCAGACAGGGTCTCTGGTTGAGGAAGCTTGCAAACTAATGGATCCTGCATAGCTGACTGCTTCCATGATATCCGGGCCCATGCTAACCCATATTGTGCCTTTGTACAAATGAGAGAAAAAGCAGAGGATACAGCGTGAAAAGCAGACAGGACCAATGGCAAATTTTGAAAAGGTGTCTTATCCTCCAGGTTGGTGCAGCCTGTACTGGATTGACTAATATCCCTTCAACTTTTATATTTAACAGGAACCTCAGAATGTGACCTAATTTGGAAATAAGTTCTTTGAAGCTGTAGTTAGTTAAAATGAGGTCCTACTGGGATTAGGATGGACCCTACGTCCAGTGTGACCAGTGTCTGTATAAAAAGAGAAGTAACACACACACACAGAGGAGACCATGTGAGGATCAAGGCAGAGACTGAAGCTGCCACAAGCCAAGGATTCCAGGCAACCACGGGGAGCTGGGAGAGAGTCATGAGCCAGATTCTCTCTCTGAGCCTCCGGAACCAGGCTGACATCTTGAATTTGGACTGCTAGCCTCCAGAACTCTGAGAGAATAGGTTCCTATTGTTTTAAGTCACCCAGTTGGTAGTAGCTTGTTACAGCAGCCTTAGGAAATTCATATAATACACAGTCCCAGCCTGGGGTGAGAGGAACCAGATCCCCACACCCTTACCCCCTCCCCAACACATACACACATACACAAAGTCATCTGCCTTGTGCAGAAACAAGCTACTCATGAACAAGGTGGCCCTGCCGGTGTCACCAATGCCTGAGTGCCCTGCTATCCAGGCTGTTTCTTCAGCTTCCCTGTAGCTCTCCCACTGACACGAAGCCAGACATACAGTCCAGACGAGAGATGTACTAAGCCCCAAGCACGGAGCCCAGCACTGCACCAGCCCAGCCCTGGCAATGCTGTGAGGGGGTCATCCTGAGAGGAAACTGGGCTTAGGGAGGGGAAGTCTTTAGGACCAGTCGGTCCACCAAACAGAATGGCTGTATATGGCCCAATTACTGTTCCCCTGGGAAGAAAAACAAATCTAAAGCAAAAAGTTTTATTGGCTATTCCCCATTAAAACACCCTTTGTGTAAAGTGGTGGATTTGAAGCAAGGGAGGAGAAAGGTTTTCTGCCTCTGGCAAAAAGTCCCTCTTGTGGTTCTTCCTTTAAAAGAAATTTGCTGTTAAAGACACCAAAGTACATTCTGTGGCCAATAAAGTGGGTGGAGGAGGCACCGAGCTGCCCTGGGGTGGGGCTGCAGCTCATGGATGCGTGCAGGACACACGGGGCTCAGCAAACTCGCCCCATCAAGGGCGTTGGAGGCGGGAAGAGCACCATCAACATGTGAAATGTGGGCAAACCATAAAGTGATTCATGATGAACACACTGAAGAAAGTGTTTATTGCCAAATAAAAAATAGCTCTCTGAAATTAAGGAGAAACAGGTTCTTTTCAAGGCTGGCTTAGGTCTACTTTTCAACTACATGACCAGTATGTCTTGAGTTCCTACAGCGTGCAAAGCGAAAGTGCCTGGAGAAAGGGGGGTCGAATGTTCTGGGAGAAAGGGTTTAAGCGAAGGGGAAATCGCAGCGCGCACCCACCCAGATGTAAGGCAGAAACAGGAAGGTGGTGATTTTCACTTCCATCTCTGCTTCAAGCACATCTCATCTTTTCAATCCCTTACTCTCTCAAGGGAAACTACGTGTTTTGCAGACCACAGTTGACATTCCTCCCCCTCCCCAAGACTCATTCTAGGGGTTAAAAACTGTTTTTAACTGCAGGATATAGGTTACATAATGTGATGCACGTTTTGGAAATGTGGAGGCAGTAGCTCTCCTTAGTGAGTTTAGAAAGCCTTCCCATTTTGTTCCTTACACTTTGCTATAGTACCACGATTTCCCCATTTTCCAGAAAAAGCAAGGGTGACTCGTATCATTGTAAATATATGTGAAAAATTGATTTTACCATTTTACGAAAACCATCTAGAGAACTCATTTATTTGGCAAAATGCTCTTGCAGGTCTACACTGACTTGAGACAAACTTCATGGCTCAGAGGCTCATTGACAAACCAACATCTGGCATTATTCCTAAGCCAGATGGGCAGAAAATAATTTTAAAAGGGGGATACATTAAAAGGAGTAGGGGGAAGAGAAAGAAGATAAACTAAGTAACTGAAAAAAAATTGGAAAAAGTTGTTTTGACTAGAAACTGTAAGGCTAAAGAAAAAGACAATTGCCTGGCCCGCGTAGCTCAGTTGGTTGGGCACCGCCCCATGCACCGAGGGGTTGCTGGTTTGATTCCCAGTCAGGGTACATGCCCAGGTTGCTGGCTCCCCAGTTTGGGGAGGGAGAGGGGGAAGAGGGTGCAGGAGGCAGCTGATGGATGTTAGGACTCTCATATTGATGTTTCCTTCTTCTCCCTTCCTCTCTCTAAAAATTAATAAACTAGCCTTTAGAAAAGAAAAATGGAATTGGATGTACATAAATACTGTACTCTAAAGTTGGTTCTCACAGTGATATGAGTTAAGAACTATGAACCGGCCCTAGCCAGTTTGGCTCAGTGAATAGAGCGTCAGCCTGCAGATTGAAGGGTCCCAGGGTTCGATTCCGATCAAGCGCACATGCCTGGGGTGCGGGCTTGATCCCCAGTGTGGGGCATGCAGGAGGCAGCCAATCAATGATTCTCTGTCATCATTGATGTTTCTATCTCTCTCTCCCTCTCTCTCTGAAATCAATAAAAATATATTTAAAATAAAAACAAAAAGCTCAGCTTCCTTCTTTTTCTCTTCCTCTCTTTCACCGCCCTGGCCCAGACGTGGAAGTTCCCAAAAGGAAACAAAGCCAAGTCAGAGTCATTTCATTTTGCAGCTGTAGTTAAAATGTACTCTGTCGCCGGCCACCACCCATCAGCTATGGGTTACATGAAGTTCTTAGTATGGGCCAGGCTGCTCTAGATGCAGCATGGTGATGCTGCAATCCTATCTAATAAAAGACAAACAGCGTAATTGACCATACCTTTGCTACGCTTGCCATTGGCTAATCAGGGTGATATTCGAATTAACTGCCAAGAAAGATGGCTGTTAATTTGCATACGTAGGCGCAATGATGGGAGGCGAAAGGGGAAGGACGGACGAACGGTGATCGGAAACCCAGGCGGCAGGCAAGAGACTTCGTGCAACAGGCCTCTAGTTTATAATAAGAAATGGATATATCTGGCCTGCCTTCCTTTCTGGCACAGAGCTTTGAATATCTTGAAATTTCCTAAGTGAAAAGAGTGATTCTGTTTCTTTGTTATGGGGTAGGGCCACAACATTAGTAACAAAGAAACAGAATTTCCGGAGGATGAGGCCCAGAAATCAGGATTTTAAAAAGATTCCCAGGCGATTCTAATGTGCAGCTAAGGTTGAGAACCACTGGTTTAGAGGAAAGAACCACAGGGCTGCGGGCTGGGCAGTAGGGGAGGCCTCAGGAGGACAGGGGCTTGGGCTGGATGAGTGGAAAGGAGAGACCATTCCAGGCAGAGGGAGAGCGGGAGGAAGCAGGACTTCTCAGGGCCTTCAGTGGACACTCTACAGAGCCTGGTGATGGGGCAGGGGCATAACACCATGCCTGGGAATAGAGAAGCTCTTCTATTGGTGAACTTGAGATGCATGAGCCTTCACACAAAAACAAAGCTGAACTCTGGAGCCAAAATGTCCTTGACCAGCACTTGGTATTAGCAGTCATTTGCCCTCTGGTATATTGTTGGGGCACATGGCTACGCTCACATAGTTTTAGGAATTTACTGAGATTATTAAGAGGGGCAATGGAAACAAAAGTACACTATGCAGCTGTCAAAAAGAAGGATCTCTGACTCTAAAACAGCGTGGATGGGCCTGGAGAGCATTATGCTAAGCAAAATTAGCCAGTCAGAGAAAGACAAACATCACATGAACTCACTTACATGTGGGATCTAATGAACAAAATAAACTGAGGAACAAAATAGGTCCAGAGTCATAGAAGCATGGAACAGACTGACAGATCTCAGGCAGGGGTGAGGGGGTGTTGGGGTGGTGACAGGAAGAGACTAACCAAAGAATTTATATGCTTATATGCATAGCCCATGGACACAGGCAATAGTGTGGTGAAGGCCTGGGGTAGCAGGGGCTGGGTGGAGGGGGACATAGGAGGGATGGGGGACATCTGTAACACTGTCAATAATAAAATAAATAAATAAACAAACAGCGGAATTAGGCCCTGGCTGGGTTGCTAGTTTGTTAGAGCATCATCCTGATATAATCAGGGTTGCCAGTTCAATTTCAGGGAACTTACAAGAATCAGCCAGTGAATGCATAGACAGATGGAACACATTTTTCTCTCCCCCCAGTCTCTTAAGGACAATTAAGAGTAAAGTGGGCCCTAGCCGGTTTGGATCAGTGGATAGAGCGTCAGCCTGCAGACTGAAGGGTCCAGGGTTCGATTCCGGTCATAGGGCATGCCTCCTCCCTGGCCCAGGTCGGGGCTCGTGCAGGAGACAACCAATCGATGTGTTTCTCTCACATCGATATTTTTCTCTGTCTTTCCCTCTCTCTTACACTGTCCCTACACATCAATGGGAAAATATCCTCGGGTGAGAATTAATTTTAAAATAAAGAAATGCAGAAAAGGGATGAATGAAATAGAAGGCTTTTGAGTATGCAGCTTGAAGATCAGCATGAACTTCGAATACACCTTATACTAATGTAATTAGAAGGAGGTAGGAGTTTTTAAATTAGTATTCCATGAATATTTGTCAAGCATCTACAATGTGCCAAGAACTGTTCTAAGTACTGGGGATAGAGCAGTGAGCAAAATACAGTCCCTGCCCTCATGAAATTTTGATTCGTAGGGAGAAATGGAGGACAAACAATGTATTTATTGGGTGCTACTAAGTGTTATGGGGAAAACTAAATCAGGACAACAGGGTTAGGGGGTAACAGTGGACAGGACAAAGGAATCTTGGGCCCTAACTGGTTTGGCTCAGTGGATAGAGCGTTGGCCTGCAGACTCAAGGGTCCCAGGTTCAATTCCTGTCAAGGGCATGCACCTTGGTTGAGGGCACATACCCAGTAGGGAGTGTGCAGGAGGCAGCTGATTGATGTTTCTCTCTCATCAGTGTTTCTAACTCTCTATCCCTCTCCCTTCTTCTCTGTAAATAA